AACCAATTTATGGATTGAAATATATCGATTATAAAAATTAATTTCTTTCCAAAAATTACTCCACTTCTTTCTCCATCTCTCTGCAACTTTCTCTAGAAAAAATAAAAATAAAAATAAAAAACTTCTAAGTTCCAGCCCCCCTTCTCCTTCTACTTTGGCCCGTCTCCAGCCCGTCTGACCACCGGCGGGCTGGCCCTTCTCCAGTCTAGACTCGCGTCTTCTCGGAGATATGATTCTTCCTCGATTTTGTGGATTGGACTTAATCTTCAGAGATCTGTTTAGTTGTTCGAGTGAATTAGATTTTTTAGATGAGTTTCAAGATTTATTCGTTTCATATTTGTATATTTCCTGATTTTATGCATGTATTTCTAAAAATTACGGATTAAATTTAGCAAAATGTATCCGCAATAGAAACTAAAAATTGAGGACATTGCAAATGTATTGGGGAAAAAAAGGAAAAAAAAAAAGCTTTTCAGAAGGAAACCATTACAATAAAATGAAGAAATTCCAGTGAAAAATTCAAATAGAAATATGTTCTAATAGAATTCCAGCGGAAATTTTATTAGATATTCCAATACTATTATTTTCGTTAGAATTTTTCAATTGATTCCAACAAAAATATTCCGTTGGAATGCACTTTCCATTGGAGTTTCCGTCGGATTTTGGAGATTCCAACGGTATATTTCCAACGTGGGTAAAATTAAAAATTCCAGCAGAAATTCCTACGATAAAAAATCGTTGGAAAAATAATTTGAAATCATCAAATTCCATCTAAGATTTCAATTGAAAACTCATTCCAAAAGAAACTATACCATTGGAATATCCGTTGGAATATCTTACTGTAGGATTTCTCGTTGGAATATACCAATTTTTTTGTAGTGAAACGAAATTTTTTAGCCATTAATTAATTGCCTACATAGACTTTATTTAGATGTTACCGTACTGGTATAAAATAAACAAGTTGAACCTTATTTGAAGATTTAACTCGTCCGTTAATTAACTTATTTGGTAATTAAATTATTTGATTAGTTTTTTTTTTAGCACAAAACGCTATTTTTGAAAAAACTCAATATAAAAAGCGTTTTCAGAATATAAGATTCCTACATGTTAACATAAAATTTTCAAAATATTTATACAACTTGCTATTAACCAAACAATTATTTAGAAACAACTAATATAATTCGCTAAACAAATCAGCTATTATCGTTTAATATTTATTTATACACTAATACAATCTGTTATCCGCTAATTACCAGTTTGCCATGGTGATAAAAATTTATTTGGCTGAAAAGTTTTATTTATTTATTTTTAAAAAAAAATACCTCTAAACATTAATAATACCTTCTAAAATTGGGTGATTGTCTTCAAACTGTTGCTACTATTAAATGGATGACAAATATGGTTGGGTAATTACCAATTTGCCACGGTGATATAAATTTATTTGGCTGAAAAGTTTTATTTATTTATTTTTTAAAAAAAATACCTCTAAACATTAATAATACCTTCTAAAATTGGGTGATTGTCTTCAAACTGTTGCTACTATTAAATGGATGACAAATATGGTTGGGGGGTTTTGTTAGATTACTAGGTGATTGGATATAAGTGGATAATGAACGATAATGACACTAAGATAGAAAAAACTAATGATGGGGTAGAATCCAATAGCATATATAGTGAGGGAATATATTGAAGATATATATTATGTAATTTTTAAGACTCCATGATAAATACTATAACAAAATATCATATATTAATAATAACAAAAATTAGAAACTTAGTTAATTTACAAGTAAATAAATATTTTTTTTATTTAATTTATTTTGTGCGTAATAAGAAATTTTTTAGAAAACACTTAGATTTGACGATGTCAAACCAATATTTAATAGATATGTGTAAAAGTAATTAATTGATATTATTTAACTATACTAGTAGACATGGCCAAAAGGCGAGCCGGGCCCGATACGGTGGGCCGAAGGGTTGGGTTACCTCGACCCTGAACCGGCACATCCTAGGTCCGTGCCGGGTCTGGACCCGCCTAAATAAAAAAAAAAAGAAACCAATTCCAAAGAAAAAAAAAAAAAAAAAAAAAAA